CTGGCTGGGGAATTCTGGAAATTGAAGTCCACCCATCTTAAAGTTGCCAAGGTTGAGGAACCCTGCTCTACAATACAGCTTGAGATACCTGTTTATCTGTACTGTAGTCCTAGATTTCTCCATTTTCTGCACCAATAAGCACTGAGGAAAGTTTAAAGATGCACACAAATAATCAAGAAATAAACAGTATGAAAAAGTTGGTTTCACTTTATGAAAACTTCCATTTTCTGAAGCTGATAAAACTGAAAACAAAAGACCCATACATGTTTATACAAATGCCTCATCATTTTCAACAGGGTGCATTTCCATTTAATGAGCATAGAAGTATAACATTCCATTAGATAAGTATGTTTAAAAATATACAGTTTAATGTATATTGCAAATGTATTGCTACTCTTAGAGATGTTACTGAAATTTCCTAGAAATACTCATGGTTTTCTCCCTTCTGTTTGTGTCTGATAATGCCAAAGATCTACAGTATGTAGTGGACAAAACCAAAAGAGCTTCTCAAAGGGTGGCCGGGGGGGGGGGGGCAAGGACTTGACCACAGCTCCTCTAAGTCTGTTTTGTTAAACCTCAAGGGCAGTTTGCCACAACCACTATGGATTGCCTGTCGTTCCAGAAGCCAGAATATATTGAACCTGCTGCAGTTATTTGGATGTAGTCATTCCTTCTAAGCTGAGACACCAAAATCTTTCTTAAATGTTGTGTTGTTTTTCACTTTTATTATTCTTTGTCAATATACAAAACACTAAGTTGTTCCTAGGCACAGTGGTTTGGATTCAGAGATATCTTTCAGAAACATGAGCATCTTCATCTCCTCATCCTAATGCAGCCCATATCATCTTAAGCAGCCTAGAAAGGACACAGAGGACTTGCTGAGAAGTAATCTGGTTAGTCCAGCTGTGAATGCAGTTTTTTTTCATTTTTCTAGATCTAAACCACTGTTAATATACTACAGCTTGCAATTCCATCCAGTACTACTGAAAACCCTTTTTATTGGCTTGGTTTCAAGAAAGCATGCATAGGATTAGCTGGGGACTTAAGTCCTTGCTTACAACAATGTAAAACATTGGCCCAAATTAAGCACCAGTGATCTCTGTTCCTGCAGAAGCTTGTTTCTGTCCCAAGGGACATTCTTTCCCATTACTTATTTAATCCTGGAAGACTGAAAACTTTAATTTGGACTATCCAGTATATAGTGTACTGAAGGAAATATTTCTCTGTGACTGTCTCAGCAAAGATTGTACGTTTGCACATGTATGTGCAGATATTTTATATACTATTGATTATAACCAGTGTGGCAATGAGCACCTCTTATAGGAACTTTACCTCATCCCAAGCATGTTTCACAAAAGACAAGAGAATATGTGAGAAAAGAACTACTAACCTGAGATACACCACCTTATACTTTTCCTGAATTTAAGCTCCAGTGTGTTCAACTATTCAAACATTATGGTTTACACTTCTACGAATCTACATTTATAAAAATTAGTTCTACAGAAATGTAATTGTTTCATTAAAAACTCACTCTGTACCAGGTACTGTGCATATGCAAAGGTAGGAACTTGGGACCCTGATAAAGGCTGTGCTGCATTTCATCTGCAGTCAAGGTGTGGATAGTTACAGGGAAAGTTTTGCGAGGAGGAACAATGCTATCAAGATGATTATCCACTTATTCTGTATTTTTTTTTTACCATAATTGATAGTAGCCAATGCAGACATTTCTCTGCAATTTAACAAATTATCACAAGTCAAATGGAGCAGCATTTTAGTTTCAAGTTACATGAATCACTGTCCTGGAAACTGGTTTGGCAAGGAGTCAAAAACACTGCAGGCAACTTAAGGCTAAATTGGGCTAAAGCCTTTTGTCAACATTTGTTCCTACTGTGGAAAGTAAGAGTATAGAAATCCCTGAAACAGAGGCATGGAGTCTATACCTCAGTACCTTGCAGCACTTCAGTCTATGCTGATTACATTTTGAGTGCAACGCCTCTTGCCTTAATGTGATTTTCACCCAGACCTTTACAGTCACACTAATACAAATGATCAACAAGAATCTACAAAGGAGCAATATGTAGTTCTAAGAGAGCATTTACATACCATAGAATCTAATACAATTCCTAAGGCATGAGGTGAGAGAATAGGTAAACATTCTTTACTGCCACGCAGGGCCAGGTGGATGAGAGTGGGTAGCAAAGCAAGTCCTTTCCTCATTGCTAAACATGGTCGGCATTCTGATCACTGCACCCAGTCTTTGGGATGGCGCAAAACTTCTAGGATTTCTGCTTCCTTGGAATTCTCTGGCGGTGAATGCATATATTCCCACCTGAAAAGTGGGCATGTACAAAACGGCTGTTAGTTCTTTTTCCCTCATACAGTATTTACAACGTAAAATTTTAACATCCAAAGCAAAAAAATATGATCTGTTCATTTCACACTTATCTTATTGCACATTTACCACCATTAACATTATAAAGCCTACCCAATAAAAGTCTGCTTTGCAAAGGAATGGATTTACTTTGCGTTTGGTTCTCTAAAATATCAACATAATTTCTAGAGCAAACTGATCCTTAAAATTGGAATCAGGTGAAAAAAAAAAATGGGTGGAGTCCATAGTGGGAGGCAAGAAAGGAAATAGCCTTATTCAGGATTATACACTTACTCAGGAATTGCTTCCAACCTCCTGAGATGGGGAAATATTGGGTTTATTAAAAAGTGTTCATAAGTAAAAATATTGTCTGCTCTCAACTTATCAGGGGACAGAATTTTAACTACCTGCAGACAGTAGCATTGCAACTTCCAAGTATATACAAACCTAGCAGCAAACCCAGCTTAACCATGGATCAATCTGTCCCTCCTCCCCGCATCTAAGGACTTTTATATTGTTTTCCAGGAATTCTGCTTCAAGGTACCTGACATAAACCAAGAATGAAAATTGCTTCTGCAGCTGAGATTGAAAGAGAAGGTAGAGCAGCCTATGCAGGTAAGACAGGAATAGGGAATTTCTAGAATGTCCCTTTTTCATATATGTCTCTTGAATATTCTCCAACTTGCCCCCAACATATTTCACTGCCCTCTATTATTCAGCAAGAGTAGTAGCTTCTCTCAGGAACCACACAACATTTACGCTTGATATATGAATGTGTGCAAGCTACTGGCTACAAGCCCTTAAAACCAATTGAGGTTTGCACAAGTAGTGAGACAGACATGGTAAAAGTCAGCTGTTAATGCTGTCAAATATTCAGTGGTAGTATCAGAGCTGACAATAACCAGATATAGGATTCCATGGAACTTCTTACAGAGGATATTTGCAACATAATTAACCAAACCCATTCATGTAATTCCCAATAGTAAGCATGGAGGGTTATTATCAGTCACTGGAAAAAAGTGAGCTTGGATAAGGCATGCAGAATAGAAAAACTCCTACCTGGTGGTCTCCCTCCCTCCCTCCCTCCCTTCCCTCCTCAGTTTTTCCAGTAACATAATGCTTTTTTTATTGTTTCCTGTTATATTCTATCATCTCCTTTGTCTCTCTGGTCTTGCCATACAGTGACTTATTTATTTATTTACTTATAGGACTTATATGGCCGCCTATCTCATATAATGACTCTAGGTGGATCATAACAATCCATAAAAACATAGCTAAAAACAAAAGTATCCTGCCCGCCCCCCAGGTGCCAGCTCAATTCCCATCCTAGCCCAATGCCTGGGGGAAGAGCCAGGTCTTCATGGCCCTCCGGAAGGCTAAAAGGGTAGGGATCTCTTGGATCTCAGGTGGGAGGCTGTTCCAAAGAGCTGGAGGGGCTACGGAGAAGGCACGTCTGCAAGGTCCCATCAGGGGCAACATTTAAGGGAGGAGACCTGGAGTTTGCCCGCCTTTATCTAACCTACTAGGACAGGCAGATACCCTCAGGGAGAGGTGGTCCCACAAGTAACCTGGCCCTGTGCCATGTACAGCTTTAAGGTGATAACCAGCACCTTGAATTGCACCCAGAAAAAAACTGGGAGCCAGTGCAGCTCACGCAGCAGTGATATTACTTGGGTGAACTGTGGGGCACTCAAAACTGCATGTGCCGCTGAATTCTGAACCAGTTGCAGCTTCCAGATGGGCAGCCCCACATAGAGAACATTGCAGCAATCCAAATGGGAAGTGACTAAGGCATGAGTGACTTGGTTCACACATCACACTATGCCATAATGTGGACTGCTTGTTCGAAGACAAAACAGTATGTGAGCTCAGCCATTATGGTTTATCAACCATGATTTATAAGTTATTGTTATCTTTAAGCCAGGCCAATATGGCTTGTCCAACCAACTCCATCTGAGAATAAGGTGAACTCAGACCATAGCTGACATTGGTTTCAGAATCACCTAATAACCCTTACGTCACAGCCACTAAAAAGAGTTGTTCAGCTCTACCACAGCTGTTCTTCTTTTCTTTTGCCATTAAGTTTGTGTTGCAATTAGCAATATATACTGCTTTCTTTTCTAATAAATATTCAATTAACTCCTATCCAGCAAAAGAGAACAGCAGGCAGGTTCATTTGCAGAATTAATGCCTCTGCTGTTTTGATCATTGGCATATACCTGTCATTGTTATGGATTTTATGATAGGGCTTTATAATTTTTATGTTGATTACTGTATGGCTTTATTGAAGTTTTTGACTGAGCTCCCTAGAGGTGGGCAGAATCTAGCTGTATATAAGCGTTGTAAGTAACGAAATTGACTAACACGAGCATTTCCCCCATCACTTGGTGCTCATTTAGTCCCACTAATCTAAAAACTGGTTTCTAGTCTTTCTAGTCATCTCTCATCAAGTACTACTCATCACATGAAAGTGACAGTATGTATATAAAACCAGGTCAAGAGGATGACTTTAAGCCTACTGTAATTATAACTCGTCTTCTTTTTAAAAAGACCAGTTTATTTTTTAACAAAAACTACCCCAAAAATCTGTTTTGCTACTTGCAATTATGATCTTACCTGGCAGTGAGTGGCAGAGACATAAGAATACTTTCAATCCTCGACCCTGGTGTTGCAAGGCCAAATTTTGTGCCTCTGTCATACACAAGATTGAATTCCACATACCTGTTGAAGAATACAAAAAAAAAAAAAGCATTCCTCTGGTGTCCTTAAATGGCACTATTTTTCTGACTTTGCTAACCACTGAGAAAGGCAAAGGGCAATACAGCACACTGCAATTTAATTACTGATCCTGCTCAGCCTTTACTCTGGCTTTCAACATTTCCCAAAACATTATTTACGTACTTCAGAGACAACTATTAAAACACACATACAAAATCCTGAGTGGTTGAACTGGGTGCTCAATACTAGATTTCCATGGCTGCACAGAATCTTGAAACACACATTAATGAACTGCCACCATAAAGAGAGTGTTTAGAAAGGTTTTTTTTTCCACTCAGTTCCTTGGCTAACAAACAAAAAAGCATCACTGAGACCTACCTCAGCATTTGTACAGCAATAATGGCTCAAATAGCATCTTCCTGAAAGTATGGGGAGAACAGAGAAACTTATTTTGCAAAATGAGGAGAGAAGAGAGGCAGCAGAAAGAAGAGAGAGGAAGAAATAGGAGGTAGAGAGGTGTTTGGAACTACCGCCAATTGCACACTGTGTGCGATTGGAGCACTGCTTGCTGCTGATATAGCTGAGACACTTCCAGGGGACATATGAAGTGAGCTCAGTGAGCAAGCAAACAGGATTTGGCAGGGGAGGAGCTTTCCCATGTCAGAGGAAGAACACAGAAATAGAGGAAACTGCTCTTGTGATGCTGCAGTGGACTGCCATGCTTGTTTGCTTCCCCAAGACAACAAGAACTATTCGTGCTATAAGTGCAGGCTGACTGCCCTACTGGAAGAGAAGGCAAAGGGGCTACAGGCAAAAGTACCCACCCCTGCCCCCACCCCCCAAACTCATCAAAGATGGAGAATTCTTAAATTAGACAAAAGGAGATTCTGCAGAGGGATAACAGCACCAAAACGACTCCCAGAAGAGAGAAAAAGCCATGAGGAAGGAATGTGACCCAAAGGCCCACACCTGTCAAAAAAAGCTTTTATGTTCTGGAGCTGCAGAACAGATTCCAAAACCTCACCAGTTATGCTATTTCTGGAGCCCTGGATGAAGAGCAGCGACCATAAACCTCAGAGAATTTTACAGGTTCTGCAAAAGGAAAGATCTCTGCCTTGAAGAAGAGAAAATGACAACTAGTCATGATTTGAACTCCTGGCAAGATGGTGGTGTTCTCTCATCCGAACACGGAAGAATATGTTTGGAAGGCACCTTACAAACCTGATTCAGAGGCCTTTAAAATAAATTCTGTAGATGAGGGAGAAGGCAGTGTGATGTCAAGGATTGAGACTGGAAGAGGCATGCAGGTAGTGCAGGTTTCCAATCATAACTATATAAATATAGGAGGGAATAGGTCAAGCTATGTGATGTAAAGATTTTAGTCTCTATGGGGAACAGACAGAAAGAATCAGAAGTCTTAATGCAGAAAGACAAATATGACTTAGTAGGCGTTACTGCAACCTGGTGGGATGAAATGTGATTAACTTGCAAGAATTGAAGGGTATAACTCATTCAAAAGGAAAAGGCCAGACAAAAAGGGAGGAAGAGTGTCATTATATGCAAGGGAAGTGCACACATGTATTGAAATACAGGAATTTGAGCATTAGAGCCTATTCAAGAGCATTTAGATAGAAATACAAGGAATGGGAAGCAACAAAGATATTATTGTGAGGGTGTGACACAGACAACCAAACTAGGCAGAAGATTTGGATAATATCCTCCTGGCCCATATTTCATAACTTTCAAGGAAGACAGACTTACTAATAATGAGAGATTTCAACTATCCAGACATCTGTTGGAAAAACCAACTTGGCCAAGACTGCAAGGTTTCAAAAACTCCTCAGTGTTGCTGACTATATTTTCCAGAAGACTGCAGAAGAGCCAAGGGGGTTAACTCTTCTAGACCTGATCCTAACCAATTGGAAAGTGTTCATTGAAGACATAAAAGTAGTGGAAACTTTGGGAAGAAATGACCACATCGTCTTAGAGTTCCAGATACTACTGAAAGAGAAATTGGAACATAATTGTACATCAACATTAGATTTTGGGAGGCCCAGTTTCAACAAGCTCAGAGAAGTACAGTATTAGGTGGGATATCATAGACAAAAAATTTTGGATAAAGATTATGCAGGAGGGGAGACAACTAAAACTGGAAATACAATTGCATGCAAGTTGAATGAGAAAAAGTGAGGCAAAAAGGATCTGGAATATCTTGGTGGATCACAAATTTCACAGTTTTTTAGAGCAACCTTTCCCAAGTTCCAGAATTCCCTTGCTAGCCCACAAATCTGAAGGTATGCCCAGGTTGGGAAAGACTACCTTACAGAAACAAGCATATTTTCAATAAGATTTAAACAATTACAATTTCTGTAGTATTTTTAAAAAACTAGAAATGGCAGATCTTTACATTAAATAAAATGAAAGAAATCAAAGGGACCGCGGAGAGGATATTGAAAGGGCAAACTATTGTATATAAACAGAGAACAAACCCCACTCCCTTCTAGCAGTGAAGATGTTAATTAGTTGGGTAATAAAATGTCTGCAAGAAAACAACCAAGCTCAGAGAACCCCAAGGACTCTACAGTTCAACCCTGAGCTACATATATTCTCTTCTAATTAGAAATTGATATTTGTCATAAAGTTGAGAATCCTCAACTTAAAATTTGGGGAGGAGATAAAGAAGTGGTGGTAGAAATAGGGATAATAAGATACTGTGTTTTATTTGTGCAATTTTGACCTGTGAAGTTTTCTGCCAAATTAGTTCCTGCTTTATTGTTTTTTGCCTCAGCTCTGGTTATCTATGGAAAGACCAAGTATGACAAGATAGAGCAACTGTTTCAGGGAATGCAATGGGTGATAGTTACTTCATTTCAAAATCCTCATTCTTATCTTTCAGACCAGCTATAATAGATGACAGTGGGTGGAGGTGGGGCTACAACAGTTAGATCCCACATGGTTTATCAGAAGACACAAAAGATCCCATTTTAAAAAAATAAAAGCTCAATTCACAAAGATAGAATTCTATTCCATCTAAATAAAACTGGTCACATCAACAATTGCCATATCATCAGAAGAAGACACTAAGCTTGCAATTAGTGAATAGTTCCAACACTCAAAATTAAAATAGTGAAATAAAGCTATTTGGAAACAGCAGAAACCTTAAATTATGCTGTTAACTGGAATGGGCCAACCAACATATATTTTGACAGCATTAAAAGAACTTTAGGAGCTTTCAGACTCTTTCCAAAATCACATTAAAGTGTTAGTGCTTAATTCAAAGTGTTCTGTAATACTTATTCTTGGAAATAAAAGGCAAGGTGCATGTGTATGGCAATAATTAGATCTGAGTCTTCCAAAAGCCATAGTAGCTAGGGAATCTGGGTTTTAAAGTTCAACACATTTCAAAAAACTAAGCCAGGAAAGTGTGGGCTAAAGAAAGAGCCAAAATATTTGGATTAGTGGTCCCAAACGGTGTATCAATTGAGGGCCCAATCTTCCATCCTGATACCCAGAAGGTCTCTCTTACTCACCTCCCCCTACGGATCTGCTGCCATAACTTTTCTTTTGGTGAGAATATGTCCCGGGAGTGTTTCTTCACAATGGGAATGTAACAAGGCACAATGGCTTTGGCACAACTCTGCACAAACTGAAAAACTTCTTCTTTTGAAGGCGAGTCCAAGTCATCAAAGAAGATGCCTCCTATTCCCCGCCGTTCTCCACGGTGCTTGATGTAAAAATATTCATCACACCTGTTAACACCAACCGTGCTGGTTATGAGGGTAACATAAATATAGAAGTCTAAAACACTGAGTCAATATATGAAAAAATAACCTAGTGTAACCAAGGGACTGCTTTGCTGTCGAAAGTAAACATAATATATTGCCATACAGAAAATATTGCTATATATTCTAAAACTATTTTAAAAGCAGAAAGATCTGTAACTACTTTCCTAGGGTAGGAAGAAGAGAGGCCTATTAATTTCAAGAGCTGAACATACATTTAGTTTCACCAGTTGCCTGAATGAAAACAAACTACTAGTTACAGTGGACATTTAAGTAAAGCTCTTCAAATGAGGAACACATTTTAAAATATCATTTATAGAAAGTCACAGATTGAACTCCAAATACTTTTCTTAATGAAAGTTAAAACTGTTCAACAAAGCCAATGATTCAGAAAAGAACTAGGAACAATAACCTCAAAAACTCAGTGATCATTATTTTCTATCCAACTTGGCCTTCAGTGAAGCATCCAGTGGTTTATTGATCTGCTTCTTGTCAATGATTCCTCTGCTACTAGATTTTTTTTGTCCCCTGACTTCTTTTTCTTCCCAACTTTTCTGCTGAGAGAAAAAGAAGTCTTCCTTCTCACTCCATAGAAAGCAAACAAGCAAACTGTTAGTGGAGAAAAAAACTGCGTGGTTCTTCAAAATCAATTCTCTCTAGTCTTATCCCACCAAGTATGGAAAGAAATTGGATTAAAGGACAGTGGATGAGTACAAGTAAGTTGATGGTATGGTAGGAAGTTGAATGGAGGATAGAAGTATTTCTGGAAGTATGTCTGGATGGAACTTGGGTGTGCCAGAGTCCCCTCCCCTCTCTTTCCTTTCTCCTTTAGCCCTGAGCTAGCCAAAAAACTCTACACCAATTTTTATTTATTTATTTACTGCTAATACATGTAGGAGACACAGAAGATATTTTCTGACAACTCTTCTGACAAACATTCAGAAAAAAATCTGATATGAAATTCCCACATACCATTTTTTAAACTTAGGATATAACTCAGGATTATGCTGATCACAGGCATCCTTCAGAGTTTTATGAAAATGAATAGCATCTTCTTTATTCAAGTAAGTTGGTGTAAGGTCTGTTCCACCACCAAACCACCAATGTTTAGTACCTAAGAAAATAGAAAAGAACCATCATTTCTTTCTATTGTTCTTTGTAGCTACTCTTATAGTATAAGAATCATATCCATTTAGTTACAACTCATCTATAATGCAGAAAAAGGGCTATTATGATCTTAAGGATTTACAGTAATTATATCTGCTTAACTTAAGAGACGCATTACATGCATCATTACATATCTTAATATATTAGCCTTCTTCAGGTTTAGAGATTAATGTCATGAAAAGTCAAACAAGCACAGCATGCATAAAAAAAATTGGTTGCCAGTTCTGTCTCTTGGACACAAAATTTATCTCTCTGCAAAAAATTATCTGTTAAGAAAATAAGACCTTAATTATATAGTCTTGTGTTCAACAACCACTTCCGTAAGATTTTTTCAACAGGACTAGCCGTTCTGGAATTTGTATGTGAAAAATCCCTAATTACAGAGGTTCATTTAAATTTGTCAGGTTATTGTTGAACCATGAAGCTCCTCCTTTCCAAAGTCTGTCTCCGTTATTCTTACCATGTCGGGGGTATCTGCAGACTCTCACTGTGTTCATCAAAATGACATCAGCAGCATCAAGCTGCAAGCTCAGAGCCATCTGAGCACGCGTGCAATGTCACAGTACACAGAAAAGAAGAGGACTTGCACACTTCTCCCTCACATAATTTATATAATTCTGGGTCAAGGTATAACTCTTACCATCTGCATCTTCAATTTCAAAGTATCTGTAATTGAAGTGTATAGTGGGAACGTAAGGATTCTTTGGATGAATGACAGAGCTCACTCCCATAGCACAAAAAGGCAATTTTCCTAAACAGCAATGAAGAAAGGTGTCTTAGTCAATGGTGAAAACATAAGCCCAGAGTCGCTGGGAGTCAGGCAGCATATAAATGTTGTGATGATGATGATGCATTTCAAAAACAAATTAAAAACAAAACAACATTATAAGCTTTCTAAATATCCTTTCAACTCTGCATCTTACATTCCAGAAGCACCTCTGGATCTGCAACATCTTAGAGATTTTACAAGAAAGAAGTTAATGGGTCTCACTATTCAGAATCCACAGGGTCTAGAAAAGAACTGTGATAACCTCATATTTTTGTGCCAAGATTTTTGCTATGGTCCTCATTAACTGGAAGAACATCACACTGGGCTCAGTGGGGTTGACTTTGATACTGGTATGCAGAGAACTATTTAAATCTGAAGAATACGTTGCATAGTGGACTTGTGGCTGGCCACTGTGGGAAGTTGGATGATGGATTAGATTCACTTTTTGTTTAACCCAACAAAACTGTTATTAGATTCTTTAGCAGATTTTATGTATGAAGCCTCACCGCTTTTGGTCTTCAGAGTTTTCCCCCTGCTTCTCATCTGCTGAGCTGCTTCCTCAGAAAGATGTCCAAAAACAACTGAAACATTGACACCAGCCTTCTCAAAGATATCACCATCTTGAAGTACACAGCTGATGCCTCCCCCACCTGTTAAATAAAGGAACCAGCAATTACTTCAACTGCCAAGTGATTTACAAATCTTAGAATAATATTTTCAAACTATGGGGCTGTTCATATAGCTATCTAGGATCCTTTGTTTCTGAGTGCAGGCAATTCAGAAGCATGGTTTTTGCCAGGAGTAGTAACTGAATTAAAGAAGGATCAAATTCTGTTACTCTTTATTACAATCTCCCAGCAACTGATTTTAGAAGGCTACTGATGGATTACATTTGCCACTATCTGTGGCAATACCTGGTTTATTTGGTCAGAACCAACATCACTTTTTTCGTTGCTTCTTTGGGGGAAAATGAAGTATAGATGAAAATCTCACTGCCACAACCCCAAAATGATAAATGTAGAGATCAGACATACTCTGCTCAGCTCTTTTCCTAGTAGTGTAGCATCTGAGGCATAAGACGGGTTATAAATTATATTCTGTCTCTTAATTACTCAAAGGACCAGATGTTTACAAGTAATTAAATTTTTATTTAACTATAACACCGTATGAGCTAGTACCTTGAGAGATATTATTTCCTTTTTGTGATACAGTATTCCTTGCTTATATACAGAATAATTTACTTTCTCCCCAAAGTCTACCATTATTATTTTGTTTGATTATCTCTTTTTCCCTTCCTTTCCCTTTTTCACTTTATCAACTGTCTCTTCTCTCCATATTCTCTTAAAGTACCTATTTAACCCTTTACTTGCATTTCATCATGCTGTCCCTAACTTTCGTCTGTAATTCAACACTGAGTGAGAAGGCAGATAAAAGTTCTAATAATCATTTTATAGATCAAGGTATGTCATGTCTGTAATAGATATTAATAAGGTTAAAGGAGTCTATGTATTTAACTTCTACTACTTCATACAGAAATAGGCACAGATAAGAGTATTTCTATTATGTCTTCAAACTAGAGCAGGACTATAGAATGAAATTCAAATATTCAGTCCCCTTTTGTAGCTTCAGCAATAATCAATATGGGTAAGAATAAATATACAGTCACTTTCAGCCACCTTCCTCCCCAAATCTTTCAGCTTAGATATGACAGAGCTTCTTGAAAAGAAAAGAAACAAAAAGTCATTACTCCAGTATCTGTTAAGTTAAGGCTTAAGTGGGACTTGCCTTTCTTATCTTTTTACCTCCTACACTCTGTATCAGTCCCATAAAGCCTTCCCATGAAATGAGAAATCCCTCATCAGTTATTTTGTTTCAAAAATGGTCCCAAGTTGGCAACATTCATTTTCATGAGCTTTCTACTCCTGTACACAGTACTTGTTTGTAAGTCTGACATCATTCCAAAATAGTGAAGAATGAAATAAATATGAATAACTGAAAAATATGTGAAGCATAATATTCCAGGAAAAAAAGTACCAAAGTCAGCAATAAAAACTGGTAGGCATTAAAGCTGTACTTTTTCTTTTTCTTTCTATCCTCTTGAGTCAGTTTTTTACTCCTGGCAATTGCCTGGATGAGTCCCTGCAGTTTTCTTGGTAAGCTTTCAGAACTGGTTTGCCGTTGCCTCCTTCCTAGGGCTGAGAAAGAGTGACTGGCCCAAGGTCACCCAGCTGGCTTCGTGCCTAAGGCGGGACTAGAACTCATGGTCCCCTGGGTTCTAGCCTGGTGTCTTAACCACTACACCAAACTGGCTCACTAAAGCTGTGTATTAAAAGAGACAAAATTATATTTTTTAAAAAATACTGGACATAATTTTGTTGATCAAACACATACTTTTTAAATGCCCATCAGGAATGCTTAAGTAATAGCAATGGGACCTTCCTGAACTATGACATATCACTGGTCCCTTTATTCATCTGTAAAAAGGTAGGGGAAGAATACCTTTTAACAAAGGATTACCTGAATGGCCACCATCTTGGAGATCTTAACATCCCCTTCCTCTGAAAACACCTGCTTTTTAACAATACAAACTAAATATATAGTTATATTCTTCCATTTAAACCTTTTAGCCCCAGTCAGAATGTGGTAATTCCATAACACACACAATCAAACAAGACCCTGCTGCAAATTTTTGTATTATAGATGCATGTACACACAAATCCATGTAGAGCCAGTATGGTGTAGTGGTTGAGGTGATGGACTAGGGCCTGGGAGATCCAGCTTCAAATCTACCTTCAGTCATGAATTTTCACTGGGTGACTTTGAGCCAATTGATCTCTCCAGCCCACCCTATCTCCCAAGTTGTTGTGGAGAAGAACTGGAAGAAGGAGTTCCATGTATACACCCTGAGCTCCGGAAGGTAGGAGATGAACCTGACAAATTAATTACATCAGTCTAGATTTAATCCCTTTATATAGTTTAAAGGAAGAATGCTTTCCCATTGAGCTGGGCTCTATGAGACATTCCATGTAGTTTTCTTAGCAACAATACAGAAAGATTCTGGTAGTACCTTTTCCGACAAAAAAAAAAATTGAAAGGCATAAACGTTTGTGAGCTGCAGCTCACTTATGCCTCTTAAATTAAATTTGTTAGTTGTAAAGGTGCTACCAAAATCTTTCTGATTTTTTGGCACCATAGACCAACATGGCTGTCCCCCTTCAAAATACATAAATGTTTTGTTGCTACCTTCTTACAAGGCTTTTTAAAAAAAACCTGTAGTCTTTAGCTGGATCAGCTGAAGTAGGCTGGGCGTTCCCACGACCCAGCTGGGTAATACATATTTTGCATTCCTGAATATCCTCTAAAAAGCTTTTACTACCCTCCAAGTCCTTAGCCCTTTTGGCACCTATCTTTTGGTCATGCAGAATCTTGGACATTTTCATTCTGCTTGCTTGCTGCAAACATTTTTCTAAATAAACGAGGCCCTTGAGCTGTTTATTGCCATCTCGAGCATCCTAAGGGCCAAATGAGAACCCCACTCTATTCGGTGAGACTTGTGCGGAAGTAAAGAGGCCAGATCTAGCCAAACTCGGTCCCACGAGTACGCCCGCAGGCAGGGCAACTACTCCAGATTAGCTGCACCCTGCAGAGGTGTGAGCGCGCGGACCCCGAGGGAGGAACGCGTCCCCACTCTACCCCGGAATTCGGGTCACCTTCCTTCCTTTCCCAGCGGTCCACGGTGAAAGCAGCGCCGCGGTCGACCTGGGCCAGCGCGTTGCACACCTGGCTCTGCGTCTCCATGATGAGCAGCTCCATGCGACTTCGCATGTCCCCGCGGCGGTCCCGCAGCTCGCGCAGCCCGCTCACCGGGGGAGCCATGAAGCTCTCGCATAGCCGTGCCAGATCCTCCTCCTCCTCCTTTCCCCACGGCTTTCCCGGTTGCTGCTGCTGCTGCCGCCACTGCCGAGGCTGCTCCTTCATCTCCGCCCGCCGCACCAGGCCCAGTCCGGTCAGCACCGCCGTGGCTCCCGCGGTCCAGGCGAACACCGATCGCTGCCACCGGCCTGAATCACCCCGGCGGGAAGAGCGGCCCGAGGGCGATTCCAAGGCGCCGGAACAGAACATCCTGGAGCAGCGTGGCCCAGACTGGAGCCTGAAACCCCGGG